GTATTATTTTTAATATAGTAAAGTAAATAATTAATAAATAATAATACAAGATAAATTATTTAATATAGTTAAATTCAAAATAACAACCGAACTTATCTTCAAATCAAATGATCCTTTAATATTTTACTCTCTCTTTTTTTTTGTGTGTGTGAGTTGGCTTTACTGTTTGAGTGGGCTATGCACTCAATTTCCCCAACTATAGTGGGACCCTTTTCCCCATTTCCTCGTTATCTTATTAGTTCGACCCAATCCACTATAAGTTTTTAAGAAAATGACAAAATTAGGTTCTTCATAATTATAATACAATTTCCACTAAATTATCCTTAAAATAATTTAATATAGTGGTTTGGAGGACTGACAAAGGGTACGTAAATTTGGTGGATGTATTAAATTTATAGGATGTAAACTTTACTTCTTTAGCTACAAATTATTATAAAATTATAAGTTGTTATGGTCAAATTTAACAAACATAATAGTAATTTGTATAAAAATATCATAAACGTTGTCAATATTTAAAGAAGTAAATAAATAAATAATTACTATAATGACATTGTATTTTAAAAGTACAGTTCAAGTATGTAAACTTGTTAGAAGAGTAACAGTAGGTTTGAAACTAGTCTGTTTTAATGTTTTTCTCGAATAATACTAAATTGATTTTAAAAAGTTAATTAAATGTTTAAATCACCGACAGTAGTAATTGTAATGATTCACTTATAATTATCTAAGCTATTTTATTGAGTGATATCATCTTTTTATTCAATATATAGGTAAAATGTTGTATGATCAAATTACATAAATCGTTATGCCTTTGCTTAAGAGAAATGTGTACAATATATAGTCATACATACATTTATACATACTTCTTAAAAACGATAAAAATGATTTTCAATAAAAATAAAAGGAAGTTCATATAATAGGTTCGGAATTTCAAAGTCAAAATGCAATTATATTATGTGATTTGTACATTTGTCCAACTACTAAAATAGACATTTTTTTTCTTGATTTCAAAGTAAAACATTTTATACATGTGTTAGAAATACAAATCATAAACGAAATTGACATTTAAAGATGTAAAGGAGTGAATAAATCATTATAATGACATTGCATTTTGGAAATACAGTTTTTTTTTTTTTTTTTTACCCTCCCTAGGAGCTCCCACCCATTTTACTTCCTTGGTGACTCGAACTCGCAACCTTCGGATTGGAAGTGAGGGGTGCTTACCATTCAAGCAACTCCCTCTCGTCGGAAATACAGTTTAAATATACTATTATACTTTTATTTGATGAATTTTTATTATTTTAAAATATATTTATAATAGGATCATAAATTGTTATTGATGTGTCTCCATTTGACTAGTCACCCTTTATAAGTTAAACTTCATTTATTAAATTGGTAGAAATAAAAAAACGAACATGTCTTAGTTGAATTACTTTCACTATGTTAGATGAGTAATCTTAGATTTGAATCTGATTTGTTTGAATTTAATAATGCAATATCAATTTTTAAAAGTTAATTAAATTAATATGAGTAGTTTAAACCATCAATATCATATGGTAATTGAACCGCTTCCTCATACTTATTTAAGTTATTTTATTAAGTAATGTCATTCTTTTTGTATTCACTATATATGTAAATTAGTGTTGAATCACACCTTAAATCAACATACCTTCGTTTCAGAGGAATGTACACATGGTTGATTACTTTCACTTTATTGGACGAGTAGTACGTATGTTTGAGCCTAATTTGCTTCAATGTTTTTTTTAGAATAAATGCTAAATTAATTTTAAAAAATTGATTAACGTGCAAATAGTGGGTCAAACCACCAACATGGTAATTGAAACGCTTCACTTATTATTTATATGAGCTGTTTTTTGAATGATGTCATTTTTTTTAGTATTCAATATATATATAAAATGATGTTGAATCACACCGCTTGAGTCGAGATGCCTCCACCCCTGTAGAAATGTACGCAACATGCATACATACTCATTAACATCGATAAAAATGTTTTTCAATAAATAAAAAGATATAAAACATTACTTAAAGTTTAAATAATGAGTTTGAAATTTCAAATCAAAATACAATTGTGTAATGTGATTTATACATTTGCCCAAATACAAGAGTAAACTATTTTCCCTTTGTTTCATAATATAATAAAGAGAAAAGGGTATAAAATACCCCTTAACTTTATTTTATTGGTTGACTATGCCCTTGCAGTTAAAGTGAAGTTAGTTTTACCCCTACCGTTACTAATGTCACCATATATACTCTTTATTTGAGGGAAAGTCCCAAATTAACTTAAATTGCCCAATTTAATTAAAATAGCCCGATTTTCTCTTTTAATCATAACCCAACCCGCTAAACCAAATTAAAACCCCAAACCCATGACCAACCCCTCTAATCATAACCCGATTTTGGCTTCTTGAAGATTTTTTTTAAAAAAATAATAATCTTCTTGAAGATTTGTTATCTTCATGATGTGATTTTTTGCACATGGTTAACTTCTTGATTATCCCTGAAAATTTAAATTCTGCTCCAGTTATGTTGAGGATCCACATGCATTTGTCGATCTTTTCGTATCAAATGATGATTCGTAAGTCTCAGTCACTTGTCTAAGAAGTTTTTTATTTTCTTTATTTAGATTGAAAAACAACAGTACCATTGTTCTTAATTTGCTTCTTTTCTAGGACACTGTTGATGAGATCATGTGCATTCTACCCTAAATTCGGGGTGGGAGCTTTTGACATTTTCCCTTGTGCTTTTAAAGATAGGAGAAACACGAACAACAAGTAGTTTTGGTGATTTGGGCTGTGAATTTTTTGAACTCAAATTCACCGGTGGAGAAATGCTCAGCGATACAGAGCTAATTGGCGAATCCAAATTGGAACTGGAAGATGAGCTCAACCCACCAAAATTCTTCACCTCAACGACGACTGTCTATAATTAGATTATCTACTGAATTATAAGAGGGGATTTGAGAATTTTTTTGCCCTAAGAATGTTCATTTGAGAATGGGTTAAAATAATTTGGTCATGAGATTAGAGGGGTTGGGCATTGGGTTAAAAATAGGGAATGTTTTTTTAAAAATTCGGGTAATTTGAGGCTTTCCGTTAAATGAGGGATATATATGGTGAAATTAGTAACGATAGGGATAAAACTAACTTCATTTTAATGGTAAAGATAAAATCAATCAATAAAATAAAATTTAGGAATATTTTTGACCCTTTTTCCTATAATAAACTTAGTATTATGCATGTGTTAGAAAAACACAAGTGTTGCTCGGTTGTAGATTTAATCAAAATGGATAAGCTGTAGGCGATTGCATCTCGTAGTGAAATGTGCAAATGACCAATCAGGAGAAGAAAGGGGCAATAAATAAAGGGATTGAGATGTCATTAAAGCAGAAAATATGTGGACATTAATGTCAAATCCCACTCAGCCATCATCAATAATGAAACACACCCACATAATTAATCAATTAAACAATTAAAAGCACTTCTTGTCTGCTTAATTTTAATTTAATTAATTAAATATACAATTAATTAATTAAAGTAATTAATAAGAAAAGATAATTAAAAAAATCGTGCAATTCCCAATAGAGTTAGCTTTAACGCGCGTGGACACTGGATGGGAAACCTGTTGGCGTTTCGGGGCACGCTTTTCTTCTGTGTTTCTTCTTTATTTATTAGTAGTATTATACATTTATTATTTATTCACTCCCTCCGTCCAACAATAATTGTTCACTATTGACTTGGTATACTCTTTAAAAATTAATAAATAATAAAAATAATATTTTTATTTTATTTTATTAAATTTAATACTTTGAGAAATATGTTGGATGATACTATTTTAATAGTAAGGACAAAATAGACATAAAAAGTAAATTACTTTATCTTTTAATTTTTTAAATTAGACAAATATTATTGAACAATTATATTTTTAGTATAGTGGACAACGAAAATACTATTTATTTATTTACTCTTCCCTCTATTATTATTCTTCATCTACCCACCCCTACCAAAGATCGGATCTAATTATGAGTACAAATGAATCCACTCTTTTGACTTCATTTATACATTTATCAATACCCAATCAAATAAAATTTCTGTCTATTTTTTTATATATATAAATATCTTATTAATAACAAAATTTTATTTTATTCTGTATGGTTTTTATTTATAGCTAATTTTTATTATCATTAGCCTACATTTTTTTTACTTAAAAAGGAAATTATATATAACATATTGAGACATAAGTGGAGTCAAAATTTGAATCTTATGAGTTTAGAATTTTGATTACTTTATGTTACTAGAATTTAAATTAGTAATTTATATATATTTTGTAATTTTTAAAAGACTACAAAATTTCAACTAGAATTACTAAATTCGACTATATTCATAATTTTTAGAATGCATATACCTTAGTCTTCTATTACAAAATAGAAAAGCTCTAGACATTTATTTTCACACTATATGTATCTTATGGGGTAGATTTATTTGTAGCAATAATAGAAAATAAACCTTTAATTAATTAATCGAAATACATGATAAATAGCTTGAGCACTAGTAAGATTTAACGTTCTCGCTTCTTAGCTAGTAAGCTAAAATTGCTGGCTAAACAAACTCACTAACCTATACCCAATCAGTAATAAACGCGTGGTAAATTTATAATGTAAAAATTACATTGATAATTTTCATACTAGTTACTTAAAATTATTATTAAAAATAAAGTTATTCCTTTATTGTGGATTTTGTTAGGCTGCTGTATGATTTAAATTTTTCCTAATTAAATTAGTGTTTATTTTTTTTTATTTTCTGCAATTATTTTGGATTTATATGTGTAATCTCCAAGTCCAATGCGTATTTTGGCTGTTCAAAGTCTACTTGCTTGACAGTTGACACCATTGCTCCACACAGTCCAACATATAAACCCAAAAAGAAAAAGAAAAAGGAAAAAGAAATTTGGAAATAAAGAAAAAAATGTGTATACATATAGAGATACATGAATATTTGTAGAGAGAGAAACAAAAGGAGTACTGTCGGCTTCAACCAGGCAAACACCATCACCATTTTCTCTCTCTTCCTCGATAGCTTTACTCTCTCTTTGTCAAGAACACAAAACCCTAATTTCATCTCTTTATTGTTCAGCTAATCGGTCAATTTAATCTTCGACCTGTTTTCTGTGACAGAGTTTAGTTAATTTTCTGAAGTTTTTTCGATTGTGTGTGTTGTTGTACATGGAAATTAATGTTATTTACGTGGATTATGATGAGAAATAACGAAATCCGGGTGAATACTTAAGGTATCTTTTGGTTTGCTTTGAATTCTGATTTTGTTCCTTTTTGGTTGATTTCTTCTAGTTTTATATAGAAAAAATCACTGCTGTTATATATAGAAAGTTGTGAATTTCCATATGGTAGGTGGTTTCTCTATAGATATATAAATTTTAGCTGACAGAGTTTGGGTTAGATCTCGGAGTTGTCATAAGTGTTTCGATCTGTAATGGTTTCTATGTTTTTGAGTACAACTTGTTTGATTTTTTCATCTTTTCCTCTTTTGATGTGAGTTTTCATCTGTGTTGAACTTAAGAATCTCCATTTTGGGATCTAATTAAGGGTTTAAGTTATGCCTCTGTATTTCTCAATTTGGTTGCTCTCATGTTTTACTGTAAAAGGGGCTCAAGCAGGCGTTTGTGCCCAATTTTTTAAGTTGTGCAGATTATTTGAGAGGGGGTGATAAATTTTGTGCTTTTGGAGAGATTTGTTGAAGAAGAGCAAGAACAGTTAGAGATTTTGAGGCTTTAAAGTTCACATCTGCATTTGTTCACTATTACTTGGTTTATTCTGATTCTCGTGAGTTTTGTCAGTTGGATCTAGTTAATTTTGCCGGGAATTCATTGAGAGGTATAGTCTTCTGAAGACACAGATAATCACTTAAGAGTTGGTGACTTCAAATTGATTTTCTTATGGCACACGTTGCTGCAAATCATTTCGGTGGCGGGACTCATCCAGGTTTGAGTTATTTCCTCTTTCAATTCCAACACTTTTATGTTTATAATCTATAATTACTAGTAGTTTATGCTTAATTAGATATTGCTCATTTATTTTTTCCAAGTTCATGTAGTATGATGTACCTGTAGGCTGTAAATGCTCTCTTTTGCCCATTATTTGCTTTTGGTTGGAGCTTTCACAATGTTGGTTCTCCTTGTTCCTATTTATCTTACTCATCTCACATGAACCAATTATATGCAAGTTCTAATGAATTAGTCCTCACTCCGGCTTTCTTATAAGTTTTTCCATTTGGTCATTTTACTTAGTCATATATTTATAATATATGCACATAACACTGTCCTATGTGTGTCTCCCTTAATACATTGACATCTATTGCTCTTGTATGTCATTTGTATGGTAGTAGCCAATTCTTGTGCTTCCGCACTGCCTAGCCCAATAAATGTAAAATTTGTTACTTGTGAAAGTGATACATATAATTGTTTGATCTTTCTGTAGGGGTGTCTGCAAATGGTGCATTATACAAGGAACTTTGGCATGCCTGTGCTGGACCTCTCGTAACAGTTCCTCGTGAAGGGGAAAGAGTTTATTATTTCCCACAGGGTCACATGGAACAGGTATATCTTTTAATTTGCATTTTTCTTCCCTCCTCTTTTATCCTTTTAGGTCTTATGTACACTTCTTAATTTTCTCGTGCAAACGTGGAAGATATATAAAACCTCAATCATAGTGTGATGTTTCATACTGTCTTTTTTATTGCGTTTTCTGCAACAGTTTTATCAAACAGACATGTGATATCTAATGGTGCTTTTCTCTCTCTCTATTTCTCATTATGATTCTTTATGATTGCAATCTGTTTCCAGCTTGAAGCATCGACACACCAGGGAGTAGACCAACACCTTCCGTCTTTCAATTTGCCAGCTAAAATTTTATGCAAAGTGATGAATGTCCAACTTCGGGTAAGTGCCCTATTTTTCTTTTAAAAAAATAACATTATTTTTAATTCTCCCTTCCTATGGTTGAATCATGGTTATAAGTACCATTTTTAATTTTAGGCCGAGTCAGAGACAGATGAGGTGTATGCACAGATAACTCTGCTTCCTGAACAAGATGTAAGTGCTGCCCTTTAAATCTTTGAGGTTTTGATCATATGAGACTTCCAAAACATACTTTTTTACTTAACATCCTGCATTCTCCTTTTGTCTTCTGTGGATTTAGCAAGGCGAGATCACAAGCCCTGATCCTCCTCCCCCTGAACCTGAAAAGTGCACTGTCCATTCGTTTTGCAAGACTCTTACTGCATCTGATACTAGCACCCATGGTGGGTTTTCTGTTCTCCGAAGGCATGCAGATGAATGTTTACCTCAACTGGTAAGCTTGTATTTCATAATTATGCCTTGCCTTGGCTTCACCCTTCTGAACTCCTCTACCCCTATCCATTTATTCTTCTCATTAATTTTTGCTACATACTCAGGACATGTCGCAACAACCACCATGGCAGGAATTGGTCGCTAGTGATCTACATGGCAATGAATGGCACTTCCGCCACATTTTTCGAGGTTATATATCAATTTTTTTCATGCAGTCGGTATAACTTGGAGATTCAGATTAAAGTTATTGTTGAGTTGGGTCAGTAGAGTTGTTCATAGAGGTAGTGGGGAGGGGAAGAGAAAAACTACTTTCAATCTAGTTGGTGACACTTCTGTTAGGCTGTGGTGTCTGAGTGGGAGACTTGATTCTTTTTGTGTTGGTCAGTACCAGTGTTTTAAAAGTCGGAGGCGTGAGGCGAGGCGTAACAGAGTTTTTTAAAACACTGGTCAGTACTAAGTAGACGTCAGGTGGGAGATCCCTTTTTTTGCTTGGATATTTCCGTCTGAAAATAGGCCTTTTAACTTTGTTGTGATGCATTTTTCTCAAATCAGATGTAAGACCTGTATTGTATAACTTGTGTTTTGTAACTTAAGAGAGCAAAGCCTGTGGTTATGGCATACAGACTCTTTCTTCATTACGTATAATCTTTTGTTTAGTTCTCATAATAAATGTTGACTTCACGTTCAGGTCAACCTAGGCGACACTTGCTCACAACTGGGTGGAGTGTTTTTGTCAGTGCAAAGAAGCTGGTTGCTGGAGATGCTTTCATCTTTCTCAGGCAAGTTTACGAGTAACATATCCAGCCATATTTTACTGGAAGTGTTTATAAAAACTCTCTTTCATAACCCTTCCATCATTTCATTTATCTCTGCAGGGGAGACAGTGGGGAGCTTAGAGTTGGTGTTAGGAGACTCATGAGACAGCTAAATAATATGCCATCTTCTGTGATTTCAAGTCACAGTATGCATTTGGGTGTTCTTGCAACTGCATCTCATGCCATCTCAACTGGGACCCTCTTCTCGGTGTTCTATAAGCCTAGGTAGTTCCTTTTTCCCTTTCCAACATGGGTATATAATCGCTATTTTATAGGATGAAGCTTCCTCTCTCTGTATGTCAATACTGTTGGGTTGCTGTTCAACCAATGGCGATGATAGTCTGATTTCATCGAGATTGGCAACAGCAAAAATCATGTGTAGTAATTAATCGTACTGTGAGCATTAAGTTTCTCTAGTTTCATCTCTGTTAATTGTTGTATACAAGCTGTGGTATAGGAAATTTGAATTTTTTATTTTGCAGGTTGGTATAATCTTAGCTAGCATTAGTAGTGATGGATTTAAGATTTTAAGGGACTTGAGTAGCGTCATCCAGTTTTTCTGTTTCTGTATGCATGTTTTGATACTTGGTTCTTATTGTCTTGCCAGTCTTTTGAATATTTTCTTGCTTCCGGATCTAGATTCTTTCACTTGCCATGTGGATTTAACTGTAATAAAACTGCTGATTTCCAGGACTAGTCAGTCAGAATTCATTGTCAGTGTGAACAAATATCTTGAAGCACGAAATCACAAGCTTTCTGTTGGGATGAGGTTTAAAATGAGATTTGAGGGTGAGGAAGTTCCAGAAAGAAGGTAAAGCTTCAGAATATAATAACTTTCAGTTCTTAGATATCTGTATTACATTCAGCTCTAATTATATTTAAAAGAGGACTATAAAAGGCTAAAACTCAATTAACCCTTGGCTACTTTATCTGTATTATAGGTTTAGTGGAACAATTGTTGGTGTTGGTGATAACCCATCATCTAGATGGCCTGATTCTGAATGGAGATCTTTGAAGGTACTTTTTATTTTTTTAATTTGTATGAGTGACCATTCAAGCTTGCTGTTAATTATCATCTTAGGCCTCTCCATGATCTTGTTTTTGTTGTTGGATGCTGTTAAGAGGTCGTGAAATTTACTCCTCTCAACCCACTTTGTTTTGTACTGTTGCCCATTAAACAACATTTTATGTTTTTGTTTATGTGCCCTGGATAGAAAGGAGAGCAACCTGTCTAGTTTTTAAGTATTTGGTTCTCTTCATGTGATGTCATTGTGTCCTGCGGTATCTACTTAGATATTACTGCAATGTGGTTTACTAGGGATTATAGAATTCTGCAAATAAAGTTGTCATCTGTTGCTCTAACCATGTTTTCACCTTTCCGTTTTCTTTGCCACATTATCCAATAGACAATAGCTAATAAACCCGCGTTGTGCATTTGATTCGTTCAGGTTCACTGGGATGAACCATCGTCAATTTTGCGTCCAGATAGGGTTTCTCCATGGGATATGGAACCACTTGTCGCAGCAACACCTACAAACACCCAGCCTCCTCAAAGAAATAAGCGTGCTCGACCGTCAGTTTTACCGTCGCCAGTGCAAGAACTTCCTGCTTTAGGTCTGAAATCTTTCTCCTGTGCTGTATGATTATTACTTCTAATGTACACACATTCTCATTGACAACTCTCATTTTGTAGGAATGTGGAAGTCTCCTGTAGATTCTCCTTCATCATTCTCGTACTGTGATCCGTCTCGTGGGCGAGATCTCTACCCTTCACCCAAACTTTCTTCTGCCGCAAAGGGCCTGGGTTATGGTGAGAATGGTTCCATGCCTCTTTCTACCAAAACGATGTACTGGTCAAGTCAATCGGAGACATGTACAGAGTCTGTTGCACCTGCTAGTGAAAAGAGACCGGCTAATGGATGTAGGTTATTCGGAATTGAGTTGCGGGATTGTCCAACCATAGACGAATCCTCATCGGTTGCTATGCCAAGTGCTGTAATGGAGGATCTGCCAGCTCCATCTTTAAATATTGATTCTGACCGAAACTCCGAACCATCAAATCCAATTCCTTCAGTAAGTTGTGAGCCTGAAAAGTCATCTCTGAGGTCTACCCACGAGTCTCAAAGCAAACAAATCCGGAGTTGCACTAAGGTACACCTAACGTTAGTCTATATTTTGTTCTGTTAGGAATTCTCTCTTTCACAAGTACATGATTGTGGTGCCCTTGTTTTGCCAAATTGGAGTTCATTGTTTGATTGAGCTTCTTGGTATTCTCCATAGGTGCATATGCAAGGGAAGGCAGTTGGGAGGGCAGTTGATCTCACAAGATTAGATAGTTATGAAGATCTGCTTAAGAAATTGGAGGAGATGTTTGAGATTGAAGGTGAACTTCGTGGATCAACCAAGAAATGGCAGGTAGTCTACACAGATAACGAGGACGACATGATGATGGTTGGAGATGACCCATGGCAGTAAGTCTGACAACCTTAGTTATATTTTCATTGTTCTATTTTGCATTATTATTATTATTATTTTTTTATTTTTTTTTATCCCTCCCTAGGAGCTCCCACCCCTTTTGCTCCCTTGGTGACTCGAACTTGCAACCTTTGGGTTGGAAGTGAGGGGTGCATTACATTTTGTGCTTAAACTTTCAATATTCCTTGCGTATAGATAGCTTCCGAGTAATGTGGCTCATAGACAATCAGTTTCATCAGTTGTCTTTCATATTTAATCCACAGTGATCTTACTTTAATGCTTTCTTAAATCTACTTTTTACATAGTTGGATTACAGAAATTTACTTCCGAGATGTAGTTTCTCAAGTCCTACTGACTTTGATTCTTTTGGTGTAATGGAAATGTGGTACAGTGAATTCTGCAGCATGGTTAGAAAAATTTACGTCTACACAGCTGAGGAAGCCAAAAAACTTTCACCAAAGATCAAACTTCCTGTTGACGATGTGAAACCAGTTTCAGATGCTGGTATTGTTAGCAACGAGGAGAAAGCATAGGAAGTGGGTCCAGGTACTTGATATACCCATATAATGTGTAGAGGAGTGGGGAAAGAATGGATCTGACATGAGTCCATAGTTTTGGTTTTTTTTTGGGGAATGTAAGTGATGCAATTAGCCCATACTTGGCATATGGGTGGTCAGTTATGGATGGTGGCTGGCTGGCTGGCAAGACAAAAAAAAAAGATCGGCTTTTGATTTTTAATGTATTTTCTGAGGAGAGTGATGCCATAACAGATAGGATTCTCCATCTTAGTATTATCTTATTGTTATGATTTCGTCAAGAAAGGAGAATCTTATGATTGCTTTGCTTGTTTGGACCTCAGAAAAAAGTTTGTCTGCACCCATCTCTAATCTAATGGGAGATGTGGAGAGATAGATACTTTCTGTTGCATTTCTTTTTTATGCCTTTTTGTTTAAATATAAAGTCATGTTATGACAAAGATGGCTTATGTATATATTATTATATAAAAAAATACCTTTTGCAATTACATTATTATTTGTATTTATTTATTTAGGTATCTTTTTCATGATTTAGGAGTATTATTTATGCAAAAGTATTCATGAATCATGATTAATCAATATCCTCACATTTCTTTTTCATCTCTCTTCTACTTCACAAAACGCGTTTCTAGATATTTAGTAAAAGGTACTCATTTGAAAGGATCATGGTCAAATATTCTTCTAATAATAACTAAAAGTGAAACAGACGCACAGAGTTATAGATTTTGGTTCTTACTGTTTACCTCCCATTTTTCTTTCAACTTCTGTATTGTTTCCAGTCAATCTTAGCTGAATATGATTTTTCTTTAAAATTGCAATTCGTGTATTTAGTCTTTAATTCTTCTTTCCTAAAAACCCTCAATTCTCTATGGTGGTCCCCTACTCTACGATCGTGTTGAAATAATGGTGATTTGACTTTGTATCTGATTTCAATTTATGTGACACTTTCTTTTAGTCGTCTTACAAAAAATGCCACATTTAATTCAACTTTTACTCCTAATTATAGTCATATTAATGTGTAAGATTTATCTTAATACCACACATTTCAAAAATCTTCCTAAATTTGTATCAAGTCAAATGATGTCACATTGTTTTAGTTTTAATATATGGTTGTTGTAACTGAACATTGACTAATTCGTAATAAGATATCGTTTACCACATGGTTGATAGAAACAACAGAGTGATGAAAATGATGTATTTGAGAAAGAAAAAAAAAAGTAAAGAAGAAGGAGGTTATGGAAATATTCATCGAATAAAGAGTATTACAAGTCACATCTCACCAACCCTGCAATTTCCAAAAATAAGTAAACAAGTTAAGACTAGATGTCGGCTCCGGTTTATGCACTTCACTAATAAACCAATCAATGATTTATATTCACACATAACAAATGATTATCGAAAGAAAAATATCACCTTACATGACATATTTAAAATTACACGTTTAAAAATATTATAACATAATAAGATCTCTCTCTCACACACACATATATATAAAAAGAAGAAAAAACCTTTTTTCCTTGTTAAAAAAAAAATTATATATGAAAAATAAATAAATGGAGGAAGTACCAATTTTGACAAAATACTATTCAAAAGGAATTATGCCATTAAGATTCTTCGGATAAAGTCAAAGTTTTTTATGATTTCCGCGTCAATACATTATTTTGTTAAACATATTTTGGGGAGAAAGGAGGAAAAAAAGGAGATGACATATGGTGTGATGAAGTGGCACATAAAATTTAATCTTTATAAGTTACGTTGATTTATTGTCATAATTCGATCTGTATAATTTATAAACATGTAGTCGGTACAAAGTTTTGAGGTCTTAGTAAACATAAATTTCATTGACCATATGCTTATTTTATTTTATGTTTGTGGGAGAGAACCTTATAAGGTGAGGAATCAAACTATCACGTCAAAGTGAAATGTTCGAACGTTCAAATAGTCAAACAACTTTACTATCCATATTCTTGAATGATTATATTCTTAGAACAATGAATTATAGCTTAACAACCTTTTTAATATGATTAAAAAAATATTTTCACAGATAAACAATTTACACTCTATACCTTATCCTTTAGAATTAGAGGTGAATTCATAATTTGGAGTTTATAAGTTTTTATTACAATTTCAAGTTAATATATACTAGTATCTGGATTAAGAGACAAATATTTAATAGATTTTCTAATATATATATACATAATCAATACAAAAACTATCAAATTCACATGACTCCATAAACGACGCTCTAAATATGCCCTCTCAAAAAATACATCTTAGGCTCCTTACTTGAACAGTTGAACCCATGATTGGATTTGGGCCATACAATGTAACCTCAGTCCACAAAGAATGGGCCTTTGTTTAGTAACCTTGATCCATAACTATTTATTGAGAAATTGACATAAATAGACGTCCATCAAAATAATAGCCTAACAAATAAAAAAACAAAATAAATAAGACAAAAAAAAAATATAGACAAACTAAAATGAAGAGAACACAACACACAACTCATCCCACGTGCAACACATAGAAATATATAAAAGGGACAAAAACAACAGAAAGAGAAACTAATCAAACAAAAGTAAGAAAATTAAGAGACAAAACGACAAATAATTACGATATTAAATAATTGAAAATTTTGGTCCCAAAATGATGAAAGTGACTGCTTGGGGCATTCAGGTAAATTCATTAGTCAAGCAAATTAAAGCTTGTGATTGGCTGATTCGTTTCGGGCTCCTTCTTGAGGCCCAATGGATCTAGTCTATCATCTATAGCTTATGGGGGCCGGCACCCACTTTTGTTCGGCCCAAATACCCATTTTTTACTCCGAAAATTGCTAGAAAACATTATATTAATCTTTCTTTTTTATGATTGTTGAAAATCATTTTATTTTTATTTCTTAGAGTGTTATATAATTATCATTTCCCCCTAATTCAATACTAAGAGGATCAGTAGTGTTTTCACTTAGTCTTAATACGCCGCGTAATAATGATCACATGCATTATTGAGGGAAGAGATTATAGTTTTTCCCAAAAAGAAAAAGAGAAGCTTTTTCCAAACACTTCTTTTAAAATTATAGTAATGTTTTTGTTCAATTTTATTCTTTAATCAGATCTTAAGCTATTGTGAATTACTCTTTAGAGTTGTATGTAGATGTCAATATTTATCTATGTGTGCATCAATTAAGAGTCTGTTTGGTTTGACTTATTTTTATCATTTAGCTTAAAAATAAATGGTTATAATCATTTTTTAAATTTATCCAAACATTAAAGAAGTACTTAAAAACTATTTTGACGTAAAATAAATCAATCTAAAACAGGTTCTAGATCTAAATTACCGATTTTTGGTGGTAACCTAAGAATAGAAAAAATGAATAAACAAAATATGTACAACTAAAAGTAGCTCAACTTATCTTAACTATATTTTTAAAAGTCAAAACTCATAGAGACACTGTTAGATCAACAACTCCAACCATGCAAAGTCAAAAATAAAACATATAACACCCAAAAGAAGTATATAAACACAACATATAACCAAGAAAATCAAAGAACAAAAGATCAAAATCGTATCGAAAAATTAATGGAGATGAAATATTTTATGATGCTAGTATTGTTTTTTGGAGTAATGGTGCAAGAAGGAATGAGTCAAAATAGGGATTCATCATGTATGAGCAAGTTACTCCCATGTATGAATTATTTAAATGGAGCAAAAGGGGATCCACCACAAAGTTGTTGCAATCCATTAAAAGAAGTAATTAGAAAAATGCCTGAATGTTTATGTCAAATGGTAAGTATTAAAGGGAGTAAAGCAGCAGAACAAGCTGGGATCGATGTTAATGACGCACAAATGTTGCCTGCTAAATGTGGACAGCCTGTTAATTATATGGGGTGTCTTAAAGGTACGTCACTCGAATTAGAGCATGTTTCAATTGTAAATATACGATAAAATAATTTCACCACCCTGTTATTAAAATTCTTATAAATTGATTTGGAATTTGTGTTGTTGGTTTCAGGTGCATCAAATTCTGCTGGAAACTCAATGGGGATCACTATAAGCATGACAGTATTGTTGGCTGTTGCTTCTCTGATTTCATTTCAATTTTTGTGATAATCATCAATTATATTATTACCTTTGTGTATTAATTGTTGAATATTGAATTAATTTACATTTTGTTTACTTTGGTGTTATATTTAATATCTCCCTTGTATGATCTATCGACATGTTTTCTCTATTTTTGTGAGGCAAAAATTGTTTATTGTAGAATGTAGATTAATCAGGTCCTTTGTCAAATACACCGTTGGCCAGTACCTAATCTTTGGTACAAGTTGTTGAATTCCAATTTAAAGGGAAAAAGGACAAATATACTCTTTTAACTATGCGATTTAGAGTGGCTATATCCTTCAATAGGAGAAAATGATATATATATATATATATATATATACTCATCGGCTAGCTAACAAATGATGCATATATACATCGGTTGTATCTAACAAATGTGCATCTTTTTGGTAACAGACCTATATTAACTGATTTTTTTTTTTAAATGAAAATCCTGAAGTTGATTTTTTAATAAAATTGTGTGAAAAATTATCTCACCCTATTTTTTTTTCTTACCCCTCCACACCCGACCCAAATAAAAAATCTCAATCACTTTCCTATTCAGTCATCACAACTATGACTGCATAAATGAGGAATTGAGTTTTTATAGTTGGGTCGGGTTTGGAGGAGTAAAAAATTAAGTGAGATAATTTTTTAAAGTCACGTGACATTTTTAAAATTAAAAATGCACATTCACTCTAAATTACAAGCCGAAAAATTGAGCAAAATAATCCAAGATTAGCCCTAACATTTACTAGTATTTGCAAAAAGTTGGTGTAGCTAGCTTGGCAAAAAGGGTAACGGTCATGAAATTTGAAAAAAAGCTCTTTATGTATCATTTCATTCTCTTCTTAAACGGATACAAGTCCCCTTTTTAGCCACTTTGGTTATAACACATTATACCAAAATCATCTTTGACACACACCCTCTAAGCCTATGAAATTGACAAAAGCCATGAAGAAGCTCAAGTTCTGGTCAAAAAAGAAGAAGAAAAAGAGAGCTCCTCTCCTTGAGCGACCACCATCACCGCCACCACCAATCCTCCCATGCTATTACCACTGCCCTTATAATTACCCAGTTCAGCCGTCTGCACCGCCCTTGCCACCTTGGTTCGAGTACGTGCAGCCATATGATGACTCAATTTACACAACAGAGCAAGTTTCAGGTTCAACATCAGACAATTCAAATCAACCTAATGGTAGTACTATTTCTCAGCACATCGATAATGTTGGTGAAATCAATCAACCAAAACAAACACTGTCAGATCATAGTTTGCCTCAACAGTATATGGTTCAGAATCAAGTGTATGGCGTACCTGTAAGAACAGAGAGAGCTGGTGGAGCTTTTGGATGTGTGATCAATTTTGGAGCTCATTTGTTCCGTTGCTTCTTTCCTTGCTTCCATATTCGAGAACTGAAGTAAGCTGTATAATGGACTCAGCAAAGCTAAGATTTGGTTTGTCATTGCATTTGCCTCTATCTGGAAACTCTCAGTATTGTTGGCAACATACTTTTAATATATTTAATAGCAAGTAATAAAACAGTTGTATAAATATATGGATGGTAAGGTTGTTTTCTTATTTATGAAGGTGAATATTATCATGTCTCATATAGCCATATTTCTCAAATAATGTATGTCAGAAATGTAGTGTCTTTAGCTCCAGTAGATGGCAGAGAATAAATTTGAATTTTCATGTGGGGAAATTCCCCCAAAAAACAACAAAATTGAAACAAAAAAAGATGTAAACTGACATAGTTAATTTGGTTTCGATTTTAGATAAAATATAAATAATGAGCTACCATACAACAATTTAAGGGCATAATTTAGTGGCACCACACCCATCTAACCTAACCTTTGTAACTGGAGCATTGGCAGAAATGCTTCAATTTTGTATCTACAAATATAGAGATGCAGCAAAGACAATATCCCTCTTGATCTTGGTAACAGCCTCTTCAAATTTTGCCTCAAGCACGATATCCCCAATGGATTTAGCAGCTTGTATTAGCTGCTGAAGAACTTCCTCCAATCTCCTGATAGCCCTGATTAAACTGCCTTCAAACACCGGAGTCATTTCCATAATCTCATAAAACTTAGATCCTTTAGCCCAGGCATAGACGGCCTCCATGATATCAGGTCGGAAAGAACTCACGAAGTTCTCAACATCTATTTGAACCTATTGAAAGCACAACAGAGTAAGACAATGGTATACAAGAAATCTATACTTGACATAACAACAATAATTGCTCTTTTGGTTGTGGAATATAGAGGGTCTTCGTTGATTAGTTTCTCAATTCAGATGTTACAAACTCAAAGCAGTGTGGATATACTATGTGCTCAATTGAACCCGAAAAACTGAAAGATAATACCACAGTAAAACATGTTCATTCAGCTATGGTATTCTATATCGTAATTATCAAAGCTTTATCAGCACAATCATTCAGATGACACATACCTTGCTCTCGAGCTGAACTTTTGCCACTTGCCGAGCTGTATCCTGTAATTGTGCAAAGAGCAACCCAAGCTCTTCCTGGGGCTTTTGAGCATCCTGAAGCTTTTCTTGCCAAACAAAACAAGAGAGAAGAGAAACCATATCCTCCACTTTAATATTTCTGAAGGTCCCATTCAACATCAATTCAGTCAAGGTCAACTCATCTGCACTGCTGATTTCGCTGGCTACCTTCCCTTTCTGCAACACAACGTCATCCCTGATGTATCTGCATAAACCCCAACCTTATAAGCACTTCCATGCAATCCACAAAAATAGCAAAGTCATAAAGAACAGAAGAATTCCAGAGCAAGAAACCGAGAGAACAGAGAACATGATGAAGAAGCAAGTATGATACCAAATAGAGGGACCAAAGTGCGTTGCAGAAACAAATATGGTTCAATAACTCTTTTGAGGTCTCTTGCGTTGATTATTATCCCAAGTTAAACAACATTTTCCTTACAACAGAGAAATAGGATAACATCATTTCTCCCCATGGTTTTTCTCTTCAAAGAAGGCTACTGATTTGTGGCTCATTTTCGACATTGTCAAAGCCAAATACACCCACCAAAGAACGACATATCAAAGGAAGGATCAGAATTACAGTAATTATTCAGGAGGTGATGGGCTTATTATAACACTAGAAACATGTTGAATGTTACTACACCTTAGAAAGGGCACAACAAAATGGAAATGTAATTCTGAAGTAGAAGAGAAAAAAAGAAGAAGATAAAGCAGTTCAACAATGGAAAGATAGCAGTAAGATACAAGAGCAATAGCAATATTAACAGCATGTATACTCCTCTAATTTTGACAGATGCAATAGCCAACACAGCACAGCTTCAAAGAAGAAACAGAGCCAATCAGCAAAAACAATACGAGGTCGGTAAGATAGACAAGTAAATTTACCCAAGTCTTCTAAGAGCTCTTTTCCTTGCTTTAAGTTCATCTTTGAAAGCTAAGACAGTTGAAGTACGCAATGTTTTCTTGATTGATTTGATTTTGCTAGTAAGTTCTTTCTTCTTATGCAAAACCTTAAGCTTCTCTTTTATAAGGGGAGACTTCGCTATCTCATACTCTTCAAACAGACTCTCCAGTGCCTCTATCCTACTCGAAGCCTTCCTGTACGAGCTACTTTGAACCTGCAGAACATGCATAGAATGAACACCAAGCTAATATGTTAGCAAATGAGAGAGAGAGAGAGAGAGAGAGACATAGACTGCATCTGACCTTCATGTCATCTTCTGGGTGTAAAAGAGGCATGCCCTCTTTTAAAAATCTATTGAGAACTTCAGAAACCTTCTTTAGTGTATTTTCTCGAACTTCTGAAGGCAAAAGATCCTTTGGTATCACAAGACGGACACTGCTCAAACTATCAATCTGTCAATTAATTGTTTATAGCAGGAAACACATTAGCTAAGCCACACAAGCAGAACAACAAGCATACATTTAAGTTGCATGATTGTCAGTGTAAAAGACCTAAATGTATGTCATCGACCATTTCTATATTTTCTTTCATGACCTACCAGATAGAAGATACATGCAACATATGAACAGATGAGAAAAGATCTTCAAAATCTATGAAAATCAAAGCATTCACATGCAGAAAGAAAGCAAAGGGCATGCAATTGAAAGTAACCTTTCCACCAAGGATCCTTTCCTTTCACAGTTCAACCAAAGGTGCAAGAACTGAAGTGCTACACCAAATCCCGACCTTGTTTCTTATTGTTAGGGTCCTAATGGTGGTTCTTGGGCTTACTCCTTTCTACAAGGATTTAACCTCAGTTTTTCATAGTTTCATCCCATTTCACTGACCATTAGGCCACACCCTTGGTTGTGTAAGTTTGAAGTTATCCTAGTAGAACACACACAAAAGCTTGGTACAGTTTCATGACTCTTGTCGCAATTCATCATCTTAAATTACTAAATCTAATACTCATTATCAGATTTTCTAGTTGCCAAATAAGCCTAAGGAGCTTACCTGGGACAAAGGAAGAGAGACAACAGCTGGTTCCCCAGCATCTTTCAACCGAACGACTTTAATTGTCTTTCTACCCACCTCATCCTTCTGCACTATACATCTCGTGAGTACATCTACTGTATAGTTCGCGTCCTCCGGTTTTTTGTTTGCATCATCTGAACATGAACATTGAACTAAAGGTTAAGGAATCTAACTAACAAAAGAGCTCAACTGATGCCGAATCAAATCCTCACCTTCAGAAATCCCTTTCACCCTTTCAAAATTAACTATTACTCCCCATGTGACCTCTTCATTGATGGAGAAGGTTGGAACATCAACATCAACCTTTGTACACTCAATGCATACAAGCCTACCAGGCTGCAGGAAAGGTAAGCAATATTTTGGAGAAAAAACAATGCCACGTACATCCCTCTTCAAGCTCTTATATTGTTCTAGCAGATTATAATATCTCTCAAGGCTGTCTTCTTCTTCAATCACAATTGAGTTTCTCTCCTCTTCAAGAATCTTTGCTTGTTTCTGGCAAGAATAAGGAAAAAAAAAAAGCAAATCTCAGAAGAATTTCAGAGAGAGAGAGAGCCGGGAGTTGAGTCAATTGACAAACCTCAAGATCAGGAAGTGCACGATCTGCTTGAAATTGATAAAATGAGTTACGCAGCAGATTTTCAGGATGACCATCTTCAGATCGTATTTGATTTAAAAGCATGTTATAGCTTAAATGGAAGGCACTGATATACACAAAATAGAAGTCAAATACAAAGTTGAAAGTTCTATACAATGATAAAACAAGTTTTTTTTGGTTGGGTTTGGGGGGCTTCGTTTTTATTTTTATTTTTGTCACCAAGAAATCTCGGGGGCTAGTGGTGCGCACTTTAAAATTCGGAGGATAATGAGCTTGACCCTCTACACCGCCATACTCATTTATTTAACCAATTATTCATTTTTCAGCAGTGCCAAATAGAAGTACAGTTGTCATCAATGCACTATTTGTCTTTTTTCCTGTTCGTTGAAACATCTTAATATGGGAAAACAGAGAACATATTTCTGATCCTCCTCCCCTGAAGAAAGATAATTTACTCAAGAGAGTCTAGACTTAAATGAGAATTCAAAATTGGCACCTGTTTAATGCATCAGCACTTCCTTTTAGCATGAATTTAGCTGTAGAAGGTTCAAGTTTCTCATCAACCATAAGGATGCAGATCCCACGATCATCAATCCCCCGACGGCCAGCACGACCACTCATCTGAATATACTCACCACTGGATAACCACCTAAACTTGTCTCCATCAAATTTACGAACATTTGTGAAGACAACAGTTTTTGCAGGCATGTTCAACCCTATACTGAAAGTCTCTGTGGCAAACAAACACTACAAGAAAATCATATAACGCAACATGATTAGAATTGAGCTTAGAAGAGTCTCTTACAGAGGAATAAAGTAAATACCTAAATTTTTTTGCATAGATAGCTGCAAAGTTTGCATGTGTAAGAATTTGTGTATCCTATAACTTCAGAAGAAGTACTTAAAGATGAGGTAAACAAATCTGAAGAAAGAAAATAAAAATAAATAATATATACATTCTTCTGGCACCTATTCTTTTATAAGCGTTCCTCTGGCACCTTCATAGAATGATGGCAGAAGCCATATTTCACATGTAGAGCCTAAGCTGGCCTTGGACACTTAAACAGGAGTATTTGTCCCCACTTATGGTCCCACCCGGTATCCGGTACTCGATTTTTGGGACCCGATAATTCGAATTTGCGCAGGGAAGTCCCACTTTCGGGGGGTAAAGCACTCCCTATCAAAGACGACTCCATACTCGGGGAGAGAACTCGAGACCTCTATTTAAGGATGGTGGAGTACTTACCACTCCACCACAACCTTTGTGGTACGAACAAGAACTTTCTCACCAAAACCGAAGGTCACCTTAACGACCAAAGCATCATTACTTAGTTGAGCTAGTAGTACTCTATTAGAGGATTAATAAGTTCACATATTTCGAGCATTCTCATCTACTCCACAGCTACAGCAAAATTTCAGGACACAAGACAAATAGATCTTTAAAAGCAAACATAAAGTTAATCAACTTCTTCTTAGAGTGAATGAAGTCATGTTGTCACATAAAATCCTTCTCCTCATAGGAATAATTCTTTGAAGCAATTAAAGAAATATTTTCTCCAACCTTGATGAATCCTTCTTGGAACAGGATTTCAATCACTTCTTTCAATATAGGAAGCAAACCAGAATGATGCACACCAATTCCACGTTTCAATAGGGGTAGCATATTTGAAACCTGCAATTACAAATATAGACATCAGTTATTAGCAAGTACTCTTCCCAAAGATCTAAGATGTGAAACAATAATCTTTTCCAATAACAAAACAAACTGCAACCCCTGATCCCAGGGACATATGGTGAAAGAGAATAATGGTAGAAAGTAGAAACTGTACTTAGTAGGAAGAGTATTCAGTGCTTCACTGTAACCACATAATAAATCTCAGCTATACGTCTAATCAAAAATAAATATAAGACGCTCACCTGAGGCAGCTTTTTATCATCATCCGACAACATGTCCATGGCACTCCAGAAAATAGTTTCAATATTCACCTTCTCATCATCATTGTTTAAATCCATTTTAGCCATCTATTCCAATTTCAAAAGGCAGAACAGTTAGCCTATTAACCAAGAACCAGTGTTTTTAGACAGATCTAAATGTTCTCATGTGCCAACAGATAAAAAATCCATATACTCTCACACAAAGAGTTGGTTTAAAAGTGGATGGAAAAAATAAAATATACTTCTACAGTATGGAATGTCATGTCAAAGGTTGATGGCATGGTCTCTTCTCTCTGAACCAGGTGAAAAGGGGGTATAATAGATAAGAAATCAGGAAATTGGAACGCTGGTTTGCCAACATCACAGTAGAGCAATACAACCATCTAAGAATTATCCACTTCAGTAAAATACACAGAAAACATACCTGCATTGCTAGAAATTCACACTCTCTTTTGCTGAAGCTGAAGCATATTACAGGATCATATTGCCGCTGGATAATCATTTTAACCATCTTGAATATGTCACTATCCTCACCAGATTTGCCAACAACCAGACCCTTCTGCCACTTGCTACTTTCTCTTTTTTTATCCCCTTCATTGGCTGGAACAAGAGCATTCAAAGCTTTCTGAAAACTATCCTCGCGAAACTTCCCTTTATCATCAACCACCAAGTATAACCCATCACCACCAGAAGGAAATATATAATGCTGAAGTGGTGTGGGTCTATAGTCCGTATAAACAATGTGACATGGTTGCTGATGGACCTGCACCATGACAAACCAAATTATTATCCCACCATAAGATTCAAATAGTTTAAACTTTCATAAATTAGAATCTCAGAAAAATAGGATTACTCAAGATTGTTCTTTCTAAGTGGTGAAATATTCTGGTAATAAAAGCTCTTCTCATCGTTTGACACTATGGATAACTTGATGCCTTAGTTTGGACTAACCAGAGTAATTGGTAGATACAGCTATTTATTTGCATGCACACAAAAGAGAAAAGAAATTCATGAGACATGGGATTCCTGAAAAGGTAAGGAAAGAGGCGTGAAGGATTAGGGAAAACAGTGATCCAGCTGGATCTAAAAAATTGCTTTGTACCCCTATGTCAATCTTTAGTCCAAAACTCTTCGCTTGGATTCTCTCTCAAAGCATCATCCTAGACTAGTGTATGCCATCATCCCCAACATCTAAAGACATGCAAAACCTATCAACTTCATGAAGAGTGAAGTAGTTTATAAAGGCAGCAAAGTTTTTTTTAATTATATATATTACTTTCAAGACTTAAGCAGCAGCATTATGATAACAAGTTCTTAAAAGGCAATCAATAAATACCTTTTCAAATGTATCTCAAGAATTCCAGAAAACTTTCAATGAGGGTCATTAATAATAAAGTAGAAGTCATATCCATGAACATATCAGTTGGTTTCTAGCATCAAGCATACTGATCAATATCGATGAGTATAGACAAGTACCTTTGCAACCCAATCCGCAAACTCTTTAGCATTGGGCACCGTGGCTGAGAGGAAGACAAAGTTGGAATTTTTTGGGGCCATAACAATGCTTTCCTCCCAAACCACACCTCTTTCTCTATCACGCATGTAGTGTACCTCATCAAAAATAACCCAAGCCACCTCCCTTGTAACCTCTGATCCTTTGTACTGCATACTACGCCAGATTTCTGTAGTCATTACCTGAAACCAAAACACACCTTAGCCTACTGAAACCCAGGACAGATAAGAAAAAGCTAAGGGCAAAAGCATCGCGCACAAACTGGGCATACCAGGCAAGAAGCATTTGGATCAATTGTGACATCTCCAGTCATCAAACCCACATCTGAAAACTCCTCTTTGAATTCTCTATACTTCTGATTACTAAGAGCCTTAATTGGTGAAGTATATACTACTCGCTGGTTATTCTTCAACGACAAGGCAATTGCATATAATGCCACAACTGTCTTTCCCGCTGACGTGTGTGCTGATACCTACAGGCACAACTTCCAATTCAGTCACACCACTGTTAATTATACAATTTATCTAACTAAGGTCTACTTAAGATAACTGTGGAATTTAGAGAAACTGACAAAACTGCAATTTTCCATAAAAGACAAATGATTTATTACTGGAATGATACAGGGACCCCAATAACAGTTTAATATTAAGAAAATCAAGAAGATGCTTTGATTGGGATTAGAAAAACTTACCATGACGGATTCGCCATTATTAATACATTTGATTGCTTCAGATTGAAAAGGGTCGAGTGGAAAAGGGAACTCTTTAGCAGGTTTTGAATCTTGTTGAGGCAAACCAGAAGTTGAAGCAGAGGGAACATACCCTTCTGGATATGACACATCATGCAGACATGTCACTGGCTCATCCACACCAAGTAAATCATTTTGTTTCAGCTGTTTACTTGGAGGAATATCACCCTCATTGGAGAATTCTTGCGACTTCCTCTTAAAAGAACCCATCTTTCACTATCACTCCACAAACCTAAAACAATTCAATCAATAAATTAAACTATATTCAGTTACATTTATCAACTTCAATGAAAAACCTAAACTATTTCACAACAGATAGAAAACAAGAAATTAGAAAGAGAAAAAAAGTGAGGGAATATGGTTTTACTGGAATAAAGTGGTCGACCGAGAACGAATATCAGAACCGGCGGCCGGCGATTGTATTTGCCGGCGCTGGTGGCGGCGATTTTCTTCCGTTCGTTTTTAAGCGGCGGAAAAAGGAAAAGAGACTAATGTAGCGCAGGTTTGGCTAGTAATAAACCTCAGGGTTTTTAGGTGGTGTTATGATTTTCAGATGATACTTTTATTACAATTTTAATTTAAAAACAAATTGTGTTAAAATATTTAGGAAGTCATAAATATGGAGCATATTTTAAAAAAATAGAATTATATTCAAATCAAATTATAGCTTATCATTTTATTCTCTAGTTCTCTTAATTTCTTTTTCTTTCTAAATTTTACAGACACTAATATCCATTTTGAGTCATAGACAATAGTTAATTGATGTAACAATTATTAATAAACAAAAAGGAATTAAAATTGAAACACATACTCATTTCCTTTTCTTTCTAAATTTTACTGACACTAAAATCCATTTTGAGCCTTTGACAATAGTTTATTGATCTAACTATTATTAATAAACGAAAGGAATTAAAATCGAAACACATACTCGTCCGCATATTATTATATAGATATGCCATAATTTGAACTTTATTGATTGCTCTCACAACAATAAAAATTAGTCCCACACAATCGATAATATTTGAATCGAATCTTAAATTTTTATTTGACCAGTAAAATAATGATAGTTGAAAACTTAGCTCATGATGTGAAAGTTCAAGTTAAAGAGTAAATTAGTGAGACGTTAATGTAAGTATGTAACCACCTAATTTTGACCATTTATTTTCCTTCAAATTGTTCACATAACATTCGTCAAATTAATAGCTCCGTTGTGATAGAATATTCTATTGAAGACAAAAATTTATGGGTTTAAAAAAAGTTGAGGTTTTGATATTTCTTTTTAAGACAATAGTGTTTGACACAATTTGTACATATCTCTACTAATTTATCAAGCAATATGCTATAACCCGCAAGCATAGGTGCCGAAGGCTTGTTGCGCTGAATATTGTTAACTGAAGTGAACTAACACACTGATCATTCAAGCAAGGAATAATCTCTTGTTCTTGTATAGTCACAAGAAGGGAGATGACCAATGTGTTCTTCTGCATCCATTGGAATAAATGGCAATTTTCCCATCTGCAGTTGGGAATGCATCAGAAAATAACCTGATCTTCATTCCGACAAACAAGTGTCGACTATTTACAATCTAAGAACTGAAACTTAGCAATGGCTGATGCATGTAACGTCATCCTCGAGTTCTTTCCAGCAGTACAACTGAGATTATATATGGTATGAACCTCGTGAAAATAGTAATGCAATGGCTGCCTCACGAGCTTAACTTAAGTGTCCAGTGTAACTCCTGTCTTTTCCATTGCGTGCCCTATCATTCTCTTTAGATCTTTGCAGAGTCCATCCTATCACTGTTCCCCCTCCTTTTTTGATTGATTGATCGGCTACTTCCCCTTGTTGTACAACCATTATAGTCCCCATCATCATTCAACTCAGATTCCACATTGTGATCTTCAGAATCATCAATTACAGACTTCTTACTACTTTTAGAGTGTGTTCCAGTAGCACCTTCATCAGGCTCCCAGCGGCCTCTTTCCCCAATGTCTTCATTATGGTGATAAGGGTAATCCGTATCTGAATCGACACTCTTGTCAGAACTTGGCTTTCTTTTATCTGTGATAGCAGCAGTCCAGTCACCAGTGGTATTACTATCATGGCTTTTGCTTCTCTTATCCCAGCGATCAGGTGATGATGGAACACCGTTATGACGCCTAGACCTGCTTCTTCTTTTCTTGTGATGCAAACTTCTGTCTCGTGTCTCATCCAACCACTCACCGCTAGAATCTGTATTACGATCTTCCTTCCTATGTCTTGAGCCCCTCTCTCTGTTACCAGATCCTGCATCTCTACATCTCTTCTTTTCCGGCAAATCATCACCAGAGACGGAACCGCAAACTCGTTTTTTGATGTCACCATTACGATGTTGACGCCCCATTTTTTCATTATGGTGGTTTCTTGATCTTCTCCCTGTGCTATGGTGGCGTCTCACTCCCTCTTTCTCTCTGTCAGATAAATCCCAATCAGAGTCACTACTGTGGTATCTATTTTCACCATGATGATTTGTTTCCTCTTCATGTTGTCCTGTCCCCTCTTCGAATTGTTTCTTATCAAGAGTTTTGCACCGTTTTTTATCAGTACGGTTGCCTCTCTCTTGATGTGTCCTTTTATGAAAATCATAATCATCATAGTGGATCCTTGAGCTTCTGCTCTCCCTTGAGCGAGACCTTCTCTCCCTTGAATCATAGCGATGCCTGTCATTTCCCAAGAACTTAGCAGACGTTTTATTTGAACATATTATAAATAATAAAAATTTATGCTAATAAAAATCCTATGCCTTTTCTGGGTGCAAGAAAGTCATATATTATTATAGCATAATTTTTTTTACAAGGGTATTGAAATCAAATGTTAAACCATGCTTTCTACACTCTGCCTATATTACAGAAGAAAAAAGGATAGTTTCATCACCAAAAAAAGAGAGAACCTGCCCATCTGAGAATGCGCAGAAGACAAGAGAAAGGGTACAGAAATAACATTCAATATGAATAGTAAAAATCATGTCCGAACCAAGCATTTTTATTATTCATCGTTTTAAAGCCCTTCACCACTTAACAGACTGTTAGTTTTTCTTTTCTTTCTTTTTAATCATGTCAATTGGTTGTCATTTGCATGTCCACGATTGGTTGCATTCTGGTTTGATTATTATTTTTTCAATGATAAGGGAAACCCGTAGCCGCTACCTTTTGGGTGCACACTGGGTAAAAAACCCGCTCCTATGCAATAGCTTGCAAACCACACAGGCGAGGTAACCCGCACTAGACAAGCCCGACGCGACAAGTTTGACCCAAAAGGCAAACCCCTTGCTTTCGCTGGCAAGGGTTTCGAACTTGAGACCTCCAACATGGAAGTCCCAAGCCAAACCACGGGACCACCCTGAAGGGTATTCTGGTTTGATTATTTTTTTCACTGGAATACTGGGGAATATAGTTTAATCATATTTTTACAAATATCTTCATACTGAGGAATTAAAAATTTTATTTGACATTTTTTTGTAGATTGGTTAATGATAAGTTCCAAAGAGTTTTTACTTTTATTTTCTCATTTCATGTACAAGATGCAGGTCTGAGACAAATTACTTATCATCCAACCCAATTTTGACCCATATTTTTACTGGTCAAATTTTTGACCCATATTAACATAGGTTGAGTTAGTTTGAGCCAATTTTCTTTAGCTGGTTCTTAACCAGCTCAAATTCAACACAACCATCTGATTGACCTGATTGCCACCACTACAGATCCAACAGGTGTCCTACTGTAATCTCTTAAGATCAGAGAGCCATAACTGAAGTATCATGTTTGAGATGGGTGTATCAGTATAATCTTTTATAAAAGACGGAAGTATCAAGATATGGTTCAATACGTTATCAAGTTCACATGAAAGATACCAAAAACTAACGGACCTGTCAAAATCAGCTGCCAGCATCTTGTAGGAATTCAACATCCGTTCTGAGTTTTTCCGTTCAAGCCGTCTATCATAGACAGACTCATCAGCATACCCAAACAAAGCAGCCATCTTCGTAAGCCAGTATCTTGGCGGTGGTTTATCCAAGTCCGCCCATTCATAATCTCCACCAGGATTGCGGAAACAATGGATAAAGTTGCATGCCGTTCCACGGGAGCATGACTGTCAACACATGTGTATATAATTCATGTTAAAAGATAGGAAGTACAGAAGATCTTAATGTCAGAATCAGGTAAACAGTAAAGATGTTCGTTAACTAATTTACTCCCTACAAGTACTGCTGACAAAAAACAGAGAGTAACAAAGTCATTAACACAGAACTCAAGCGAGAGTAGTGAGATTCAAGTTGTACCTTAAGCTTTGATTTCATGAATTCCCCACATATGGCAACCTTCCATTTGGTTACGCTAACAAACTCGCATGTGATCTATTAAGAATCAGACATTCCAAGAAGAATAAACAATTATCATTACATTCTAGCCACGTGGTTCAAATGCAAGGATGCAAAGTGCATATATAGGCTATTTTTTGTGACCTAGAAGTGTGTATTTGCATGCATTAGGATGTTAGTATTATCAACATCGACTCTTTCAGGGTAAAAAGAAACAATATGCTATAACCAAAAGGGAAATTTTCATATGCTTCCATGCGATCGATTTTCTTGAAAGAAAGTTACTAGAATAACAGATAGCAAAATGCACATCTCATTTGAACTGCAAACCATTAATTTAAATGGAATTCAAAATACCTGTTTGCTAGCGAAGTAACGGCCATTTATAGAATGATAAGCAAGCACTGCAGAATCTATATCTTTGTAGTGTACATAAACGTTTCCTCGCAAATGAGATGAACTGTTTCTACACACCTATATGTGGGAACATATTAATTGGTTATGCAATTAAAGGACAAAAAGAAGCAAGCCTTTACTAACAGTATTATGTTGCAAATAAGACCTTTCATTGTTGTGACACAGCTCTACAGAAAAAGATGTCCTTGGTTTACATCTACTGATACATGATTCTTAAGGGTCCTTTAGAATGTCAAGATAGTTTTTTTTTAGTTTGTGTTTGTTTTTTGTTTTTATTGGTTGGGGGGGGGGGGGGGTTTAAAAAATAAAAATCAGGAAAATTTAGGATTTATTTTAGAGGAAACTTTTTCCTGTGGGAAAGTCATTACAATTCCCACATTGTTCCTGCTTACAAACACACCTAAAGCGCAAAGCAATTCACTTTCTAACACTTCCCTTGCTTCATTGGGAACCAAACGTACCTAAGAGAAAAGGCTAGAATATTGTAAGGCACCTCAACAACTCAGCCTTTGACATCATTCTTCTTTCAGCACGGAGTAGCTAAACTATGTTCTATTATTTCCATGAGTTCTTACTATTTGCAACATACAGGGGAGCAACATGCTTTAAAAGAGTAGAAAAGGACACTGCTCACTTCCAAGAAATATTCCTGCTGTCCTAATGTGAGGACATAATTAGCAATACGTCAACAACGGAAAGAAAGAAATTCACTACCTTGAAATTTATAATTTCTCCAAACTTCAAAAATTCCGTGT